AACGTGCCTACAGATTTATCAAATTTGAGAAATAAATTCCTTTACTGATGCTGTACAACTTTAGCTTGGTCAAATAAGGTGTTTCGGGCCATAATTTTTAGGTAAACAAGATGAAAAACTTTTTTAAACCGTAATTTTCAATGAAAAATTAAAAAAAAACAGTCCTGAATTTGGGAGTTTTTTTTCATATTCGACAAAGGAAATGTATCCAGATTGCCTACAGTCTCTCAGAAAACGGTAATTAGTATGTTCATGGCTTCTTCTTTAAATCAATATCAAATGTAATATAGGTATCCGGTTTACTTTTCATATGATTTCAAATTGAATGTCATGAAAATACCCTATTTTTCTACATAATTCTGCTAAAGCCTTAAAGTACGGGAAAAAGAAAGTTGAAATTGATTATGGCGTCATAATGGATCTAGCACCAAAAAATAAGTCTAAAGTTATTTATTAGATCCTGACCTTAATAAGAATAAAATAGGTAAACATTCCACATTTTCTTTGATTTAATAAATCAAAATAAAATTAACTTTGTGCCCTGTCCATCTGATTGCAACACCACGGTGAAGTTGACGAATGTTTACTTGTATACGGGAGTACTATTTTGATTCCGTGCTTGGCTAACCATGACAATGACAAGTACAGGCGCTAAAATTTATTTGCGCCAATGCATTCCCACTTGCGTATGCGCTAAAATACGTATGCGCAAAAATTTCTCGTTTTACAGTATATTATTAGCTTTAAGTTTTCTAGAAGGTACTGGAGAAAGAAGAAGAAAATTACTATATTGACAAAACTGAATGAAAAATTTTAAGTTTTTGTATGTTTGCCACATATTTTGTGAAAAAATCAGAGAATCCTATTTATTGGCCACTTGGGAGCTTACATTTTGGAATGTGTTTACGCTATCTATAAGTGCAATAAACAAGCATGTACACATGTAACAGTCTGTTATAAAATGCAGTGTAACTTTTGTTCCGTGAATAGTAGAGGGCTGATATTTGGACACATATATAAGGAGTCGCCATTCTTTATGTATTGCAAAGGTCAAAGTCATATCAAAAGGTCAAAGGTCAAATATTGTGACGTCATCTACAGAATCTTTTAGTTTTTTTGCCATTGAAATTTTTTTAATCGCCAAATTATCTGAAACTACTGGATCAATTTTCTTTATTTTTACATATTTTATTCTAGGACCCATTTGAATCATTTTGCTGATTTTTTGTAAAAAATGAGTTATACATTTTCTCTCTGATGAAAACTTAAACTGTCGGATATGTTCCTCAGAGTGTATATATTGTAAAGTTTTACAAAGTACATTAAGTTGAGTTTGCTTATGGAGTGTTATTAACTTTTCTTACAATTAGTATTATACTGCATTAGTAGTTTCGTCATTATGTTAATAAATGACCTTTTTTCAATTCAAATTGTGTTTATCTCTTTGCTGTTAATCAAACGAAGCTAATAGTTTTGCTTGGGCGAGATGACAAAAAAATCACATTTATGTTAATAAATGCATTTTTGGCATGAGCTGTATTTTGTGCATTGAGAGAGTTATCTCCCTGCGTAGTACAAAAAGAATAGAACGCCACCGCTAGGTGGCAGTGCAATAGGTCACAAAGTTTGTAAACAGAAGCTGAAGTTCTACGGTAGTAGAAATTTAGCGATTTAATGTTTTCACCCGCCACCCTCCCAAACCTGAAAAATTTGTTAATTTTGTGTTGGCTGTTTTATTGGTCCCCACCTTTGATTTTGCAATAATCATTGAACTAGTCAGATGTTCCTCAGAGTGTATATATTGTAAATTTTTACAAAGTACATTAAGTTGATTTTGCTTATGGATTGTTATTAACTTTTCTTACAATTAGTATTATATTGTATTAGTAGTTTCGTCATTATGTCAATAAATGACTTTTTTCAATTCAAATTGTGTTTATCTATTTGCTGTTAATCAAACGAAGCTAATAGTTTTGCTTGGGCGAGATGACAAAAAATATGTTGCTCAAATTTTCCAGTATCAATACGAATTACTAATTCAAAGTAACAGAAATGTTATCTTTATCAAAAGTATTACACAAATTTGCAACAGATCAATTGTTAATTCTAAAATAAGGCTCATTCCCAGGTCGAATGTCTGATTTCACAATCTTCTAGCAAGGGTCTGATAGGCCATATTTCAGACTATGTGGGAAAAAAATGTGTGGTTGAATTTCTTTCATATCATATATAAAGAGAAATTTTGTATCCTAGAAAAATTATCGAAGTTTCAGAAAAATTGAATTTGAGGGAAAATTTGGCCTATCTATTGTGTCCTACCTCAAATATTTTAAAATCATTAACTAAATAATTTTTGTTTATCAAATTAAATTGTTAAGATTAGATATATTAAAATAAAATTAAAATTGACAAATAAACAACCGGAAATTTCATATATGTTTCTTAGAACTATACAATCATTAATATAATCATTACTGTAATACTTCATGAAAAGTTATCAGAATACTTTTAATGTTATCTCCCCGTCGCCTGCGAGGCGCAGTGGTAAGAGTGTCTCCTCTAGAGTCGCGATGTGAGGAGTGTTGATCCTTTCATCGCGAGTTCGAATAGCACTGTGGGACGTGGAGACCGGTCCTTTGGAAGAGACCGTATAAAGTTAGGTCCAATGTCGCAGTAGGTGCAGGCACGAAAAAGATCCTTCCCTGCTCAATGGCACTGAATGCCGAGAAAAGCACGAAATTTGTAGTTCTCTACCGGCAAGTGGTGGCGTCTCCATACGAATTACATATTCTCGAGAGGAACGCTAAACAATATACAATAAATCAATTAATTCCCATACCTCTAGCGCAAATACTAAGTAATGCTCTTTTTTCTTCTGATAATTCTTAGAACAAAGACTGATCAGCACACTTACTAATTAAGTGTATCGACGTGCATGTGCTGATGTAAGGGAGGTGGGAGCTCGAAGGGATTGGATGGAGGGTTCCGGAACTGGAATTGCGACAACCCGTGTTAAGTCAAGGATATGAAGGTTTGGGAGCAAATGAATACCGCCCCTACAGTTTATTTTTCAATTGTCAATGAATTGCTTGTTTGGATTTTTTGTTTGCTGGTAAACATTTTGGATCAGCCCCTGACGTGCTAGACTGTATGAAGTAGCGACAGTACGTTCACTGTTGATGCATACTGTAAAATCGCAAATTTTCGTGGGGGGTTAATTTTCGTTGTCTTAGGGTATGAAGAGACCCAAGAATTCATGTCCACAACGCAATGTAAAATGTTACATGCATAACTACTAAACAATTCGTCATCCACGAATTCAAATCCCCACAAAACAAGAGTTTTTACTCAAACCACGAAATTTTGACCCCACGAAAATATGTGATTTTACAGTATGAATTTGATAATTTTTTTTGTGATTCGTACTTCATTATATGGAATTCAGGGGGTATATCGCTTGACATGTATACTCTTCGAACCGATTCAGTTATCTCATTTCCTGGTAAAGATGAAATTACAGCGTATGGCGCTTTTTCGACATGCATAAACTGGATATAGACGTATACAACAATGACAGCGCTACTTTTTTTCATTCTTTTGATAGATAATTTCAAAGTGAGTTCACGACTTTACCGCTTATCGTTTCAAGTTTATTCTGCATGTATTGGTGAACTGTAAAATTATACTGAGCAACTATATTTATTATTATTATTCATAAATATCACGATAAATGTAATACATGTATATGTTATGTTCTTAAATGTTATGATGAACTAACGTGTTAACAAATGCCTTACCATCGGACATCCGAGATGTGCTCAGGCCGAAGGCCAAAACAAAAACTTCCTGTGTCGCCTACTGAGCAGAGCTTTTTCTAGTCTGTCTGTATGTCTAGCTGTCAGTCAGTCCGTCTATCAAATCACTAGTTCTTACTATATGAGGTATGGATTTCATATTTTGCACAGATACACATTCAGCTATAGGTATTTTAAAGAAATAAGGTAGAATATGGATAAAGTTTATATTTAACAAGTCGTTTACAACGAGGTAGCTGATAATGTTGCGTTTTCTAAATATCAGATAAGCTTTAAGACAACAGACAGTAGATTTCAGATTTGATCAGTGTCATTGAGTAATATGGGGTATTTTTTTTAATCCAGCACCTATTGCACAGGACCACGGTTTTGTATCGGCTTATCTGAATGTCCGAAATCAACGTACGTGTGCCTTTGTTGTATTCGATCCTGCGATGTAACGACTCTAAAGAATACCATCTAAACACTGCGTAACGGGGATAACTATTACCATTAAAATGTATTTTTTAGATATTTTTTTGTATGATAAAATAAAAAACACGTTCTTTCATGATCAAGGCAACGCGAGAAACAATCTTGAATATTTTGACAGGAGTTTTAAACATATGCACTCGATTGTTCATAAGAATCATAAAATGGTCACGTTCTTTTAAAGAAAGATACAATACATTCAAGGTAGGAACATAGCAGGATTAAAAAAAATATAAAAAATAATTTGTCTTTTTCCTCGAAAACGTATATCCATAATTTATACATGTAGTACATGTAGTCTATGGACTCTTTGATCCGATTTTTTTTCTTGTTTGTACTAAGAGGAACAATTTCAAAATTAAGACAAGAATATAAATATTTTCCTTGACTATATGACAACAATCTTTATTTAACATTTCTGCACATAGTTTACTAGCTATACTAAAACTACTAGATAAAGGGAATATACGCCTACTGCTGCAATAATTCCAAGAATATAAGATGACAGAGATGAATCTTCTTCGCCCTGAAAAGCCCGAATTTTTTCTGTAGAATAAGTTTTCAGTATCACTTTTCTTGCTTCGTCTCTTGGACTTACATAAACACCATTTTGAAAGTACTTTTGCTTCTGATATTCTTCCAGTATATTATTAAATACTATCTCCGTTTTCTCGCTATATTGTGTTTTGTAGAAAGGTATTTTATTATCCATACTTTTGATAATATTGATGAGCTTTTTAACGTCATCACGCTGTTCCCATAGACGTTTTTTGTTGTAATCCATGATTAAATAACGATTATTGGCTTTTTCGATCAATTCTTTTAAATTGTTTCCAGGTTCGAGTTCCCTTATCCAATCTCCAATCGAAACGTCTTCTTTCTCAAGTTTGTCTTTGTTGGTAAAAATTACAACAGCATACTTTTCAAATTCTTCACCAAATACTTTTCTGTAGCATGATATAGTTTCTTGGTCTTCAAGGGTGAATCTTCCGGGCTCTATAACTAGTATGAATGCGTGTGGGCCAGGAGATGTGATCATTAAAGATTTAGTAACTTCAGAAGTTATTTCGCGTTCTCTTTGTTTTGCATTGCTTGCTTTGAATTCTTGTAAACCCGGTGTATCAACTACAACTAAGTATCTGTCAAAGCGGAGTTTACTTCTGAATGAAGTGAATTTAGTTGTAGATTGAGGTCCAGTTTTGGAGGGAAATGCTGCCTCCTCAAGTATCGAATTTCCAGTAGAACTTTTTCCAACTCCAGTTTTCCCAATTAATATGAGTCGCAGCTCGTATTTATCTGCATTGAGAAGTTATATATTAATGATTTATCAAAAAGATACACTGAAATTTTGTTTATATTTATAATTGATAAAGTAATTGGTATGTTCACTCATAATTTAAGTAATGAAGAAGAATACTTATAATGATTAAGTATGTCTGAGGAAGGGATAACAAGTTCAACTGCAATCGAATCTTAAAATAAGCACATTCAGTCAGCTGAAAAAGAGCGGGACTTGTATGAAAATTCAAGGGGAATATTCCATACTAGGACGAATTGATAAGACAGGATATTTATTAATTATGTATAACCCATTCCTATAATACCAGTGGTTCTACGGTACCGTGTTATCTATTTATTTATAAAATTGCTTGCTGTTGGCGATATCATCTAGCGACCAGATACTTTTTGGAACAGGATTGGTGAAACCTTATTGTCGTTACTATCGCTTTAGATCTAAAAATAATGCATATTCTGGTAAGTTGTCAAAAGTTACAGAAAATTATCATAATATATCTGTAACAGTCTTCCTACCTTCTATTGTAAAAACGTCACAAACAATCAATTTTTGGACACATTTTACTGACTGACATATTTGTTGTCCTCATGTTTATTTACATTAGGAATGGGGTCATGTGTCATGTGATCACTGTGGAAAATGATGTATTGAACTCAGTTTATGCCAAAATTATTTAAAACAATGAAAGAGCCAAGAACATATTTTATTTGATTACAATAAGCAAAAAATTCAAAGAAGGCATAAAATTTATTAATGCTACTTTTAAAGGAGTGTCAAGTAACACACACAAGATGAAACACACCCTTTAAGTCCGGTTTAATGGTGGCTTATAGGTCCTTAATGGTGGATTAATGGTTGTCTTTAAGTCACCATTAAGTCACCATTAAGCACCTTTAAGTAACATTTACACCACCATTAAGTTACCATTAAGCCAACTCAAAGTCCTGTTGTGAGATGTGTATTGTTTTATTATGTATATAATTAGTAACATTAAGTTTCTTGAACATTCCAGAGTGGTCAACATGTTTGGTCATTTTATCTAGAACATTCTTAAATTTTGTGTATGTCCAGATTGTTCCAGTAATATCATGTTTTAACATTTTCTAGAATATTCTAGATTTATAATACTGTATAAATACCCTGTCAATTCAATGCATAGATATACAATAATTGTGAATACTTTGTCGTATAAGCACTATTGAGATATAACTGGGATATATTTTCACTGGGACATTGTGTGCAGCAACGGACACTCTGATGTATGTATTTTTAGATTTTTGCTAAGTTTGTACTTAATGATTTGTATATTACTGTAAATGAATTATTGTTAAGTTTAAACTGTGTGATTGATCTTTGCTGGCATTTAGGGTTATTCTGACCCATAACAGAATTGGGGGCTCGTCCGGGATAAAGAATTTCTTGCACTTTTGCAGTTTATTGTCAGAATTTTGTTTATTGAACCGTTAAATTTGATTATAAGCCAGCAGAAATCAACATGGTGTTTTCGGTCACAGACTTTCTTAGTTCACCAAGTGTTCAGGTTTTTGATACGTTAAAAAAGGATGACTTGATCGCATTAGGTTTGCATTTTGGGTTAGATGTTAAATCCTCTCAGAGAAAGCAAAACATTAGAATTAAGGTTGCAAACAAACTAGTAGAAGAAAACATCTTTGAAAAATACGATCTTCCGGAATATACAGTTAAATCAGAGTTAGGCTCTTACAAAATGGCAGAATATCAGTTTCAATTAGAGTTAGAGAAAATGCGATTAGAAAGAGAAAAATTAGAAAGAGAAGATCGAGAAAAAGAAAGAGAAGAGCGAGAAAGAGAAAGAGAAGAACGAGAGCGTGAACGAAAATTTGAATTAGACAAATTAGCAGCAGAAAGAGAAGAGCGTGCAATGAACTTTGAATTAGAGAAATTAAAATTACAAAACCAACCAGAACCGTCAGTTGTCAAAACTGAATTTGACGCAGCAAAAAACATTAGGTTAGTTCCGAAATTTCAAGAAAAATCTGTAGACAAATATTTTCCCCAATTCGAAAAAGTCGCAGAGAATCTTAAATGGCCACAACACGTTTGGTCAACAATGTTACAAAGTGTACTGGTTGGAAAAGCGGCTGAGGTATACTCTGCACTAGGGGTAGTTGAGAGTTCAGACTATGAGAAGGTCAAAGCAGCAATATTAAAAGCATATGAATTAGTACCTGAAGCATATAGACAAAAGTTTAGAAAGTATAGAAAGTTTGATAATCAAACATTTGTTGAATTTTCACGAGAGAAAGAAGATTTATTCGATCATTGGTTTAGATCTAAGAAACTTGATAAAACTTTTGATAATTTGCGCCAAGTCATCCTGGTAGAAGAGTTTAAGGAATGTGTTTCTCAAGATTTGAAAACACATTTAGAAGATAAGAATGTGAAAACTCTTGAAGAGGCAGCAGTCATATCTGATACTTATGCTCTGTCTCATAAAAAGAATTTTGTATCAAGATCTCAGACTAGCAGTAATTCTACCAATTCAGACACATATAAAAAGAGTGGTTCAGGGTCTCAGTCTTTCACAAGTTCCCAGTCTCCATCCCAAGGTGGTTCTAAGTCCGGTCAAGGACGTTTTGAAGGATCGTCTGGAATAGGGTCGCTTCCTACTTGTAGTTATTGTAAGAAAAAGGGTCATCTGATCAGTGAATGCTTTAAACTTAAGAGAAAAAATGATTTTGATAAAACTCAACCACATGCTTGTGCGGCAGTTAGAGGTGATAGAGAAGCCTTAGTTTCGATTTGTTCTGACACTCCTGATGTCCAGGATTCACAGTCCAGTTCTACTGATTCTATGGAGGATTATAAGCCCTTTATGTCTCAGGGATTTGTCTCACTCGGTGACTCTAGCGAAATAAAACCTGTCCAGATTTTGAGAGATACTGGTGCTGCACAGACGTTATTGTTAGAGGGCGTGCTTCCTTTGTCTGAGCAGACTTCCACTGGTGGGTCAGTTTTATTACAGGGTGTGGAGCTAGGCGTCATTGATGTTCCCCTGCATAGAATTAGTTTGAAGTCAGATTTAGTTACTGGACCTGTTATCGTAGGTGTTCGACCTACTCTTCCCGTTCCAGGCATTTCTTTGTTGTTAGGCAACGATTTAGCTGGTGGGAAAGTTGTACCAGATCCTATAGTTTGTGAGAAGATCAATCCAGATGTCATGTGCGATGATGAAGATGATGACATTTATCCAGCCTGTGCTGTTACTAGAGCGATGGCCAGAAGACGAGAAATGGAGGCAGACTATACTCAAGCCTTTGACGAGACGAATTCCTCTGTTGATATTGATTTGAATGACACTTTCTTATCTGACCTTGATGGCACTCAAACCAGCATGGAACCACACAATATCAAGAAGTCGGTGACGAATGAACCTTTATCAAAATTTAGTGGTGATGAAGATGAATCAAATCTACCAGAAAGCCAAGACAAGGATATCCTAAGCCGAGAGCAGTTACTTTCAGCACAACATAAAGACCCAGATATCATTCAACTTAGTAAGAGGGCACTTCCACCAGAAGAGGCTACTAAAGTTGGAGAATGCTTCTATATGAAAGATGGCATCCTTATGCGAAAATGGCGACCACCTGATGCTTCTCCAGATGAAGTGTGGCGTGTTGTTCACCAAATAGTGGTCCCAGCTGCTTATCGTCGAGATGTCATGAGTTTAGCTCACGATACACCTATGGCTGGTCATTTAGGTATCAATAAGACTTATAATAGGATTTTGAGTCATTTTTATTGGCCTAAGCTAAGAAAGGATGTTTCGAAGTTTTGCAAGTCATGCCATGTCTGTCAGATGGTAGGTAAACCAAATCAGAAGATACCATCTGCTCCTCTCCAACCCATTCCAGCTTTTGAAGAACCGTTTAGTCGAGTGTTGGTGGATTGTGTAGGACCTTTGCCTAGGACCAGATCTGGAAACCAGTATTTACTTACCATTATGTGTACATCCACTCGATTTCCTGAAGCCATACCTCTAAGGAATATAAAGGCAAAGAGCATAGTTAAGGCTCTAACCAAGTTTTTCAGTTTTGTAGGAGCACCAAAGGCAATTCAGTCGGATCAAGGCTCAAATTTTATGTCGGGGTTGTTCCAGCAAGTCATGCATGAGTTGGGTATAAGGCAATATAGATCAACTGCTTATCATCCTGAGTCCCAGGGAGCGCTAGAACGTTTTCATCAAACCCTAAAAACAATGCTGAAGACCTATTGTTACCAGTATGAAAAAGACTGGGATGAAGGGGTTCATCTTGTGCTATTTGCTGCACGAGAAGCAGTCCAGGAGTCTCTTGGGTTCAGTCCTTTTGAATTGGTGTTCGGTCATACAGTTAGAGGTCCTTTGAAATTGTTGAAGGAAAAGTGGCTGACTGAGACTAGTGATCTTAATCTTTTAGATTATGTGTCTGATTTCAAAGAAAAACTTTACAATGCTTGTAAATTAGCACAAGAAAATTTGAAGAGTTTTCAGTTGAAAATGAAAATGTGGTATGACAAAGATGCTAGAAATAGGGTGTTTAAGCCAGGTGATAAGGTTCTTGTATTTTTACCTATTCCTGGTCATCCTTTACAGGCCAGATTTTATGGCCCTTATGAAATTGAAAGCAAGATTAGTGATGTAAACTATGTAGTTAAGACACCAGTTCGACGTAAAGAGAAACGGGTTTGTCACATTAACATGTTAAAAGAGTATTTTGAAAGGTGTGACCGAAATTCTGTAAAACCAGTTTCCACTTTAGCCAATGCTAAGACTGTTCAAAATTGTATTGAAAGTGATACGAGTGTAGAAATGAATGAGAAAGATTGTAATCAGAGTGTCCGCTTGAAAAACTCAGAAATTTTGGCTGATTTTGATGCCAAACTTGGACATTTGAACATTCACCAAAAAGAACAAGTTAAAAACTTGATGAATGAGTATCATCAAATCTTCTCGGATGTTCCAAAGAAAACTAATGCAGCTTGTCATGATGTCATAGTGAGTGACGTTCTGCCTATCAAACAACATCCGTACCGTATGAATCCAATAAAATTGCAGTACCTAAGAAGAGAAGTGCAGTATATGTTGGACAATGACATTGTTGAACCTAGTAAAAGTGATTGGAGCTCACCGTGTATTCTTGTACCAAAACAGGACGGTTCCTACCGATTATGTACAGACTTTAGAAAGGTGAATTCTGTTACCAAAACTGATTCATATCCAATACCTAGAATCGATGACTGTATTGACAACATTGGAAACGCGAAATTTGTCAGTAAATTTGACCTGTTGAAAGGCTACTGGCAAGTACCGTTAACAGAAAGAGCAAAAGAAATATCTGCTTTTGCTACACCAGATGGACTTTACCAGTATAAAGTAATGCCTTTTGGCATGAAAAACGCACCGGATACATTCCAAAGGATGATTCACTCCCTTCTTCAAGACCTTGAGGGATGCGAGGCCTACATTGATGATGTCGTCATATACAGCGACACATGGGACGAACATCTCCGAATCATGCGTGCTTTATTTGACATTTTAGCTAAAGCAAACTTAACTGTGAATCTTAAGAAGAGCGAATTTTGTCATGCTTATGTAGAGTATTTA